AATATGCACATGCATTTTATGAACAGCAATCAGCTAATCCAGAAGAAGTTGGCAGATATGAACACGGAGATCGCGATCGGTCTTCAGGGATGCCTACAAGTTGGTCGGCTGCTTGACGAAGGCAAGGCGCCAGTGGAACTGATCTCAATGGTCAAGCGTAACTCGTGTGGCAAAGCAATCGAGATCGCTCGCAACGCTCGTGACATGCTTGGCGGCAACGGCGTCTCGGACGAATACCACATCATCCGCCACGTCGTCAACCTGGAGGCTGTCAACACATACGAGGGAACCCATGACGTGCACGCTCTCATCCTTGGGCGTGCCATCACAGGCCTGCCTGCTTTCGTGCCTCGCATGGCTCCATAGACAACTGGAGGTTCCAAGTTGGACAGACAACAGAACTGACAATACACGTACTTGTTGAAATGGTCAACCGATAAGAGCCTACTTTTTGGTCACTAATTAGTTGAAGCCGTACTCCTGACGCGCTCGCTTGACAACGCCAATGAGGAATCCGCTCTTGTTGCGGACATTGGAGAGATTGGCACCAGCAAACCGAGTGAGAACTTGGTTCGCTAGTGGCTCGGAAAGTTGTCCCAGTACTTCGTAGCACTTGCCACCAAGCTCTTCTAACGATGACAGTGTACGATTCGCCACCAACGAGTGAACGTGGTTCTGCACCGACATTGGGAGTGCAGTAAACGACTGCATTCCAATAGGTGCACGTCCACCGACCTGGGGAGGTCCACGTACTGCTCCGCCATATTGAGGCGGCCCCTGAGGCGCTGGTTGTCGACGACGCGGGTCCCGCGGATCCTGTGGGGCCTCGTAGGGCCGTTCATACAGTGCAGGTCCAGGACCTGCATTCATGGGGGCTGGTTGGCCACGGTAGCCGCCGGTATTTGCTCCGATGTTGTTCAAACGCCCGCCTTGAGGGGGTCCTCCAAGAACAGAACCATCTTGAGCTCCATAACCTCGAGACATCGCAGAAGGAGCTTGTCCTCGAGGAGAAGGCACTTGCGGTCGGTGATGTTTTTCAGAGGCAATCGCCTTCTCGTTTACACGGTTGATAATTCCCACCAGAAAGCCTTGTAAGTTCTCCACTTGTGACAGATCCACGTTGCTGAAATTCTCGACGGCTTGTAGTGCTACAGGCTCGGGCAGATGCAACAACCGCGTGATCACGTTATCGTTCAGCGGCTCCTGTAGTCTTCCTTCACGGCGCATGCTGTCGACTACAGCTTTCACTGGAGGTGGCAGACGTTCGTACAAGTTATTCGACGCCGCAGCATGAGGAGCGCTCGGTTGATTCCCTCGTGGAGACGGCTGGTTTGTCAGTACACTTCGACGACGTGGGTCACGTCCAGCACTGGAGCTTTGCGGCGCAGGCTGGTCACGACGACGCGGGTCTTCAGCTCTTGGTCCGGACGCAGCTCGCGGCATTGCTGGAGTTGGCGAAGAAGGACCAGGACGGCTACGTGATGCTAGATGAGGATCTGCTGCTGGCATTTGCCTTGTCCGTGACGATCCATTTGTCTCTGGAACTCCTGGTTTGTCAGGGTGTACAGCACGTCCAAACTCATCCACGTCTTTGTGATGTCGCTCTGATTCAGATCGTGACGTGGGAGTTCGTTCTGGTCGAGGAGAGTTCTTCTCTTCTTGGACCGGATCCCGTTGATAGGGCACCTGGACATTAGACATACCTGTAGCAGGCTGTGGAGGAGCGTAGCCGAAGCGAAAGAGACCTGGATCACTCTTGTAGTCCGACATGAAGGCGTCCACCGGCTGCAGTGCTGCGATCTGCGGGTTTTCCTTCTGATACTCTCGATAGATACGCATGAGCTGTCCGTTCTTGTCACGTACGTCCTTCATTGGTGTGCGTACGAACCGAGCAATGATAGCAATCTGGGCGAACTCAGGCATCGCGCCAACAGATGCGAAGGCAGCTCGACTCACTTGGGTGACTCGAAACTCGCCGCTAGTCTGGAAGTCCATAAGCCGATCCCACGCAGCAGCTGAGAGCCCCTTATGATCCTCTTCGTGGTGTTTGTGTCTGCTGCTTGAAGACGAAACCGAATCGCTGCTTCCACGACGTGGACGACCGTGTTTGTGGTCGTCGTGAGAGCTGCTCGTATTATCATCAACGTGTCGTGGTCGCTTGGGATCAGTGTCTCCACTTCCTGATATGTCGGA